AGAGAGAGAGAGAGAGAGAGAGAGAGAAAAAGGCGACCGCATACTGTCAGTGTTTGTATGATCCAACCTTCTCTTCTCTCCAGGACCAGATGTTGACCTCCCTGTAACACCAGTACCACTGTTTATTTGTCCCACCCGTCATCGACTCATACATACCTTTCCTTAATTCATATTATATCACACCTTTTCTTGCACAAAAAAGAACCACCAAAACACACACACACACACACTACTCTTTGCTTCTAGGTTGAACTCTTGATCAACTGCTAGACGAAACTATTGCGAATCAACAAGGTGATATCATGGACTGGACTGGGAATCACAGACCATTTATTCCTCGACCTGCAGGACAGAGTTCCTTCGCCTTTCTCTACAACTACAACAACGATCACTACGTATACCCACCAGGTAATTCATTTCTCACTTACCTTTCCACCGTTCTTTTCTTAGGACTTCAGAAACATATAGAACTCCTTATTATGTGTTATCCGTATACAATTGTGTGCTTGTTTGTGTATAGGTACCTACAGATTCCATCAAAATGCCATTCATTTAATCAAAATCTATCATTTTTGTTGCTGTAACGATACAAAATTTTGCTATAGTTTCAAAAATAAAAAATACAAGATTTTGTATATATATATGGATACATACATACATATCTATGAGCAAAGAAACCATGCATTTACGTCACTACAAGTAAAGGGGTCATTTGTCGGAGAATTGCAAGAAAACAAAAAGAGATATACGTAGTGCGGAATATATAAAAAGTATCACGCTTAGGATTTCACATCTTACAGTACATATATAGTAAAAAAAAGGAAGGATAAACACCAGTCAACCTGCAGATCTGACACTCAACCAAAGAGGAAAGTCACATTATTTCCATCAAAATCACAAGATTTCCAAGAAAAATGGTGATGTCGAAGATTTACATATGGTGCCTCACCTATAGATTTTCATCTCATCTCGCTCCTTGCTGATAAGACGGATAGATTATCATCTCCTTAACAAAGATGCGAGAGAACTAGCACATAGTATGATGCTTGCATGTTTCCTCTTATATTTAAAAAGTCAATTCATTTATGTACTAAAACATGTGTAATAAAAGTCACCCTTGAAAATGTGTCTATTTGGCAAAATATTAAATAGAGATCCATGGTACTTCAAACATTCAAGTGCTAATAAACAAATCTAATTAATTTCAAGAGTGGAGTGTGATGAATTTTAATTTCCTCCTTCAATCTCTATCTTTTTGTCACAAGAGAGATTTCTTGACAAGGAATACATATACATACATTCAAATGCATTTCCAGTTTTGAATTGTTTATGAAAATGTAAACAGGAGTGGGGGAGATGAAGCATCAAATCATGCAGGCACCGTTGGCGATGATGGATATGAACCAAAATGAGTATGAAAACAACAATCAAGAGAAGAAAAAAAGGTTAACAAGTGAACAGTTAGAGGCACTGGAAAACACTTTCCAGGAGGAGAAGAAACTGGACCCTGACACCAAAATAAAGCTATCACATGAACTTGGTCTTCAGCCCAGACAAATTGCTGTATGGTTCCAGAACCGACGTGCTCGATGGAAGGCTAAGCAGCTTGAGGGCTTGTATGATACCCTTAAACAAGAGTTTGATGCAGTCTCCCGGGAGAAACAAAAGCTTCAAGAAGAGGTGAGCACACAAATTTGTACTTCTTTTACAATAAAATGACATCAACAAATTTATCCAAATTTAAAGTTTTTTACCGTTTGTAATCCGTCGTCAATCTATGTATTTTTCATATTATAAAAATATTATATTTTAACGTTGCAGTCAAGTGCAACATAACATTATTACGGTTTGCTAAATGTCACACCGGTGTTGCATCTTTCAAATGTCAAATCAACATACCTTTTGTGTTACGTGCACACAAAACTATGTGACCAGCTATATATGTGTTTACAATGATATCTTATCAATTATCTTGGGTTTTTAGCAAATCATTTGAATATAATAGTTAAAATTTCGAGACCGAATACTATGTTTTAGTTTGGTTAGTATTTAATCATTTGTTTTCTAAAATAATAAAATTAAATAAATTAAGATATGTTAAATTGCTACTTTTGGCTCATGAAGGTGTTAGCATTGAGAACCATACTCAAGGAACAAGTAGGCAAGAGACAAGGAGCAGGCTCCAGCACGGGAAACACATATATATCTGGGGAAGAGACCGTTGAGAGCACATCAGTTGCCACCATTCGAACCATCGCCAACAATCACCACCATCATCAACTATCAGCCGGTCAACAACAGGTCATTGCTACAACTGGTGCCATGACCACTAGCAATAGCAACTATGGACTAACCTATGATCCAACCACCTCAATGCCCATTCCATCTTACCCGAATTGGGCGGTTCTCCCGTCTTATCCTTAAAATTCGTTGAACTATTAGCTATTTGTTTATGTGTTTAGGCTCTCAATCAAATAATATACTTTAATTTTTATCGGATTGTTATTATTAAAATAATCATATGTTGAGATAATTTATCACCATAAAACCATGTTTTTCAAGATTTTAAAAATATGGTCACCAACGTCGATGGTGAAATTTCACTAAACCATTCGTGGATTTTCTTTTTTTGAAAAGCTCGCTAACTATTCATGCAACGTCTATATAATTCGCAAGGTATTAAGGGTTTAGGATTCCATCCCTCCCAACTTACATGCCACCTAAATGTCACATCAATTTTTCTTTCTCCTCTTACTTCCATCTCTCCCAATGCACAACATATCATTCCTAGACCCACATATTTTCGTTTATAAGTTGTGATGGATATGGTACAAATAGAGAGGAGATAATAGAGAATGTGAGTGTTAGGTTTGCCAAGCGCCCAACACACAAAAAGCTCAGTACCACCCACATCGAAATGGTGGCGTCGACGTTACCGACCCCATCTCGTCCTTCATCTGTTGTCACTTCGGGCACTCTAATGTTACCATGTCTCATACAACCATTAATATTGTTATCGTAAAGAAACTAGATTTTTGACGTGTTGATATGTTTGATATCAATAAGGATTTTTTATTATCATCTTCTCCTCACAACCATTATGATCTGAATTTAATATTAGAGGACCTCGTATAAGACCCACAGCTTACATTTGTTATTCATGATTAAAACTAAACTCTATTTAAGATAATTGTGACAATGATTGAGGTTTTATGATGGACTAAAAATGGTTAGAAGTTTTCTAATAGCAAATATATATATATATATATATATATATATATATATATATATATATATATATATAAAAGAAATTCAGCCTTTAGCGACGACTAATGAAATAGTCGCCGTTAAAGACCAATGTCGCCGTTATTGGTGTCGCCGCTAAAGACTGAATGATAAGGATCCGCTCTTTGACGTTCTAGTAGATACGAACCGTCCGATCGTCGTTATAATCCAACGGTTAGGGTGCTCGTGGAAGGGATAAAGGAAATACCGGCGACATTCTCTTTAGCGGCTATAGAAAGTATTACCGGCGACAGGTGCATTAGCGGCGACAATCTAATCAATAGCGACGAAGCAGTAGCGACGACTCTTTACCGGCGACGTGTCGCCGCTAATTGCTCATTTCCTTGTAGTGTATATATATATATATATATATATATATGGGTGAGATCGGTTGAAAATTCATAATTTTCGAGAACCCGAGAACTAAAAGTGGAACATTAGATCAAAACTAATTCATTAAAGGCATGATCGTAATCTTATCAATCTCATTTAATGTTTAATTTTTTGTGTTATTGTAAATATTAATAGAAATGTTTAAAAACTACATAATAAATCAAATTTTCGGATTTTTTTAAAATTGTATTTTTCAGTGTTTTTTAAGTACATATTTTTTAATTTTTTATAGAAAACATTAATTTTTGAAAAAAAAATATTTTTTTAAAAAAATACTGTAATTTTTTTAAAAGCATTTAAAAATCAATAAAATTTAAAAAAAAAAACTGAAATATTTAAAAAATACTATAATTTTTTAATCAAAAAAATCAACATTTTTTGGTACATTTATGCATATTTTTACAAATGCATATATGCATATTTCATATATTATAATATTTGTAAGGAAATCATAAAAAAAACTCATTTTATTTACTAATCTATAAACACAATAGAATAAGTATTTTATTCGTTACAAAATAAAATATTAAAAACAAAAAAAATACTACAAAATTTCAAAGCGTTTTCATGTTTTTGTGTCAATATTTCCATATTTTTCTTCAATTTATCATTTTTTACCTTTTCAATATTCATCACAATTTCTTCCAAAACTACAAGAAAATAAAAAAAAATTTGATTGATGTAAAAACACTCACAAAAATACATATGTGATTTACATGTGATTAACATATGAATCACAGGCGATTCACATATGAATTACATGTGATGCATATGTGAATTACATGTGATTTACATGTGAATCACATGTAATTCATATGTGAATTACATGTGAATCACATGTCATTCATATGTGATTCATATGTGATTTATATGTGAATTATATGTGAATCACATGTAATTCATATGTGATTTACATTTGAATCACATGTAATTCATATGTGATTTACATGTGAATGACATGTTATTCATATGTGAATTACATGTAATTCACATATGAATCACATGTAATTCATATGTTAATCACATTAATTCATATGTGAATTACATTTTATTTACATGTGAGTCCACATGTAATTCATATGTGTTCACTCGTGCTTTACATGTGATTCATATGTGAATTACATTTAATTTACATGTGAATCAAATGCAATTCATATGTGATATTCATATGTGAATTACATGTGAATCACATGTGATTCATATGTTAATTACATGTGAATCACATGTGACTTATATGTGAATTACATGTGAATCAGATGTAATTCATATGTAAATTACATATTATTTACATGTGAATCACATGTAATTCATATGTGTTCAGTCGTGATTTACATGTGAATCACATGTGATTCATATGTGAATTACATGTAATTTACATGTGAAGCACATGTGATTCACACGTGATTTACATATAAACTAAACTTTAGTGCTTTTAAAGATGATCAAATAAGTAACTTACTGTGAGAAAATAGGGAAATGGGATGATTGTTTCAACAAAACAATCAAACATATAGCTCTGGTAGTAAGATCTGATGTGTGGTATTTGATTGCAAGTTCAACATCATCATTTTCAGATACCTGTATAAAAAAACTTAAAAATCAACAAATATATCATATGCATAAGCATATTATATCAATTGTCATAAGAAAGACAGATAAAGAAAACTCACAGTTATAGCAATGAAAAACATCAACAATGTCATTTTCAGTTACCTGTTCATAAAAACTAAAAAATTAACAAATATATCATATGCATAATATATCAATTGTCATAAGAATGACAGATAAAGAAAACTCACAGTTATAGTAAGCAAACACATCAACAACATCATTTTCAGTTACATGTTCATAAAAACTCAAAAATTAACAAATATATCATATGCATAATATATCAATTGTCATAAGAAAGACAGATAAAGAAAACTCACAGTTATGGGTTCCTCAAGATCAATCATTCCAATACCATTTACCAACATGTCACCATATTCCTCTATGCATCATAAAGCCACCACATTGTTGTCTGTTACCATTTTAGTTTACAAGTAGATTAGATGGCTTTATGTCCCTATGAATTACATGTCTTTCATGGTGTAAATACACAAGACCCTGCAACACCTGTCATAAACACTACATTCATCATATATAGAACAGAACATAGATTTTCTCCAACATAAAAAGGTGGAACAAGGTAGGAGTAAGACATGGAAAAAGACATAAATGCCCTCCATATCCTCAAGTTAGGAGTGGGACATGGAAAAAGAATTTTTTTTCTCAACTAACATGTTTGCAGAGAGCATCAAGATATGGTTCAAGAATGGTCTTGAGTTGTCTGATCATATCAGTCAAAGATCCACGATCCATGTATTCAAAAACCAAAGAGATGGCTCCATTGTGGTAGAAAGAGTGATAGCAGACAACAATGTGAGGGCATTGAGATGCTTGATTGATTTTCAGCTCTTGCACGATTAAAGAAACCCAATTTTTTGAATTACCATTGATATGTTCTTCAACCTGCTCCTATCATATTATACAAGTTCAAATGACCATTTTAACCTTAAACAGATAACAAGCAAGAGATGGGAAAACCATATATCACCAAACTTACTGTGAGTTTATGTTATTTAAGTATTTACAATCTCATTTTATGACAGTTCTCAAATAAACAGTCATTATTGTTTCAACATTGTTTCTGGATAAAAGGGTAAAATGGTCATTTACTCTAATCCAGTTCTCAAATAAACAGTTATTATTGATTCAGCATTGTTTGTCATTTACAATATCAATTTACAACAGTTAGTAAATAATCAGTTAGCATCACTTCTAAACAAGAGGATAAAATGGTAATTTTTTTTCATACATACATCAAATTAGAAAACAAGTTGATGAAATGATGAACAAACCTGTAGAATGCCAAGTTCGAGGGTAGTAGAATTCCTTTAACTTTGCTTTTCCAATACAAATTTCAGCATCAGAAAAAGACTCCAGCTTTGTGTAAATATTTGCTAAATCTAACCAAGCTTCCATTTCCAATTTCCTCTCACTTTCCTGGTCAAACAATAAGTATAATAATAATTCTCCTCAATTCCGAATCAATTACTTTGATTTTTATTAGGAAAACAAGAACTTGTGAACAATATATAAATAGAGAACACAAAACTGCTTTACTCCTGTAAAATCATGTCAATCTTCATGGATTCACATAGTATAAAATCAAGCACCAATACCAGGTGACCTAATAGCATACGTATCCAAAATTGTCTAGCATCGATAAGAATGTAAGATCTCTATAAATACATATAACTAAGAAAACGTGAAACCATACATCAAATCAGAATAGCATAATATGCAAACACAGCTAAATCAAGCTTAATTAAAGAGAGATCGATAGGATATACGACAAAAGTAATATAAGGAATTTAATTAGGGGAATGAAAACCTCGAAGTGATCCTGAATTTTGCTAGGATCAAGGGGTTGGCCCTGAGGATCAACACATAGAGCCATCATATCAGGACGTTGATACATGTTGGAAAGCTGATGATGGGTTTAGTGTGGAGACTTGAGCATCGATCCCCATGGCAACAAGCTCTTATCTGAAAGATATACAAAAAACGAACGAGTGATGAGATGTAGTAATGAATCGATCGTCGGAGATGAGACAGAGATATGATTCGATCATCGGAGATGAGGCATAGATACGACTCAGTGGTGACATGGCCAGAACTTCGGGAGGCGATGCGACACCGGGAGGTGATGCGGCGATAGGAGGAAATAAGGACAAATCTCGTTCTATGTTATACGGATGGTCGGAGACGACAATGATT